GCCCAGCCAGAAAACCTTTTGTTATGTAATTAAAGACAAGGTGTAGAATGCATATTCGGAATTGGAGTAATATTTTTATTGTGAATGAGGACAAATAATCAATTATTAGCAAGACTCACGTGGCTGGCAGCAGATCCTTCCCTTCTTTGATGAGGGGAGATTGGACGGGGTAGAGAAAGAGGGTATCAGGATCTGAAGGGAGCCTCTTCCAGGCTGGCCACACACACACACACACACACACACACACACACACACAGTTCCTCTGCCTAAAAAAGATGCCAAATCTTCAAGTGAATTCTTAAAGCCCTCTTCAATTTTAAGAGCAACCTACAAGGCCGGTCTTTCTTTTTTTTTTTTTTTTTTTTCTGTTTTATTATTTTTTTTTTTTTTTTTTTTTTTTTTTTAATTTTTTATTGGATTATAGGTTTTGGGGTACATGAGCAGAGCATGCAAGACAGTTGCGTAGGTACACACATGGCAGTGTGCTTTGCTTTTCTTCTCCCCTTCACCCACATTTGGCATTTCTCCCCAGGCTATCCCTCCCCACCTCCCCCTCCCACTGGCCCTCCCCTTTTCCCCCCAATAGACCCCAGTGTTTAGTACTCCCCTTTCTGTGTCCATGTGTTCTCATTCTTCATCACCCACCTATGAGTGAGAATATGCGGTGTTTCATTTTCTGTTCTTGTGTCAGTTTGCTGAGGATGATGTTTTCCAGATTCATCCATGTCCCTACAAACGACACAAACTCATCATTTCTGATTGCTGCATAATATTCCATGGTGTATATGTGCCACATTTTTCCAATCCAGTCTATCATCAATGGGCATTTGGGCTGATGATCAAGTAGGATTCATCCCAGGGATGCAAGGCTGGTTCAACATACGCAAGTCTATCAACGTAATTCACCACATAAACAGAACCAAAAACAAAAACCACATGATTATCTCAATTGACGCAGAGAAGGCATTTGACAAAATTCAACAGCCCTTTATGCTAAAAACCCTCAATAAACTCGGTATCGATGGAACGTATCTCAAAGTAATAAAAGCTATTTATGACAAACCAACAGCCAATATCATACTGAATGGGCAAAAACTGGAAGCATTCCCTTTGAAATCTGGTACTAGACAAGGATGCCCTCTCTCACCACTCCTATTCAATATAGTACTGGAAGTTCTAGCCAGAGCAATCAGGCAAGAAAAAGAAATAAAGGGTATTCAAATAGGAAAGGTGGAAGCCAAATTGTCTCTATTTGCAGACGACATGATAGTATACCTAGAAGACCCCATCGCCTCAGCCCAAAAACTCCTGAAACTGATAAACAACTTCAGCAAAGTCTCAGGATATAAAATCAATGTGCAAAAATCACAAGCATTCGTCTACACCAATAACAGACTTAAAGAAAGCCAAATCAAGAGCGAACTGCCATTCGCAATTGCTACAAAAAGAATAAAATACCTTGGAATACAACTCACAAGGAACGTAAGGGACCTCTTCAAGGAGAACTACAAACCACTGCTCAACGAAATCAGAGAGGACACAAACAGATGGAGAAACATTCCATGTTCATGGTTAGGAAGAATTAATATCGTGAAAATGGCTATACTGCCCAAAGTAATTTACAGAATCAATGCTATCCCCATCAAGCTACCATTGACTTTCTTCACAGAACTGGAAAAAACCACCATGAACTTCATATGGAACCAAAAGAGAGCCCGCATAGCCAAGTCAATTCTAAGCAAAAAGAACACAGCGGGGGGCATCACACTACCGGATTTCAAACTATACTACAAGGCTACAGTAATCAAAACAGCATGGTACTGGTACCAAAACAGAGATATAGACCAATGGAACAAAACAGAGGCACCGGAGGCAACACAACATACATACAACTATACAATCTTTGATAAACCTGACAAAAACAAGCAATGGGGCAAGGATTCCATGTTTAACAAATGGTGTTGGGAAAACTGGCTAGCCATGTGCAGAAAGCAGAAACTGGACCCCTTCCTGACACCTTACACTAAAATTAACTCCAGATGGATTAAAGACTTAAACATAAGACCTGGCACCATAAAAACCCTAGAAGGAAATCTAGGCAAAACTATCCAGGACATAGGAGTAGGCAAGGACTTCATGAACAAAACACCAAGAGCATTGGCAACAAAAGCCAAAATAGACAAATGGGACCTAATGAAACTCCACAGCTTCTGCACGGCAAAAGAAACAGTCACTAGAGTGGATCGGCAACCAACAGAATGGGAAAAAATTTTCGCAGTCTACCCATCTGACAAAGGGCTGATATCCAGAATTTACAAACAACTCAAGCAGATTTACAGGAAAAAAACAAACAAGCCCATTCAAAAGTGGGCAAAGGATATGAACAGATACTTTACGAAAGAAGACATATATGAGGCCAACAATCATATGAAAAAATGCTCATCGTCACTGGTCGTCAGAGAGATGCAAATCAAAACCACATTGAGATACCATCTCACGCCAGTTAGAATGGCGATCATTAAAAAATCTGGAGACAACAGATGCTGGAGAGGATGTGGAGAAAAAGGCCGGTCTTTCTAATCAACCTTTAGAACGTTTTCTGTGGCTTTCTCAGGAAAGCGGGGTTCACAGTTCAGACCCCTGTCGTAGCACTGACCTCATTTTATGCAATTGACAGCGGTCTCTTCTCTCATCTGTTTGGTGTTCAGATAGAGTTTTTGGACATTATACATTAACACCACTGAACCGCCAGAACTTTGACTTCTGTACTTGGGCTCATCAATGAACATTTCAAATGACTGTGTTGTTTAGTTTTAACAGCACCAATATCTGTGTGCGTTGGTATTTGAATGTTATTTGTGCATACGTGGAAAAAGGATGTGTTGACGTTAGTGATAAGAAGAGTAAATCGTTGACTTAGTTCAGTTGACACAAAGCTGGAAATCATTAGACAGGCTGGAAGGGGCGCATTTTAACAACAGTCACATATTTGGGCTTAGGTCTGTTGATTCTGTTTGCTTGTGAAAAAAAGAGAAAGAAAGAAAATTAAAGAACGCATATAAAATGCCGAAAAATATATTCCTGAGGAGTATATCTGAAAGGTGACATGAACTAATTCCTCGTATAAAAATTAATTCCAGATGGAACAAAACTGAGAGATAAAACAAGGAAATCATAACAGTACTAGAAAAAAAGCACTTGTAAAAAGTTTCTTAATCTCACTCAAAAATAGGAAAGACTTTTCCAAGCATAATATAAATAAAATCCAGAGGCCTTAAAGGAAAAGACTGATATTTGGACTGCATCAAAATATTTAAACTTTTATAGCATGAGAAAAAATAAACTCGGTAATAAAGTAAAAAAAATGAAAAAAATATTGGAACACAAAATTAGAGCAAACCCTAATTTTTGTCATATATAAAGAGCTTTAAAAAGAAGATAAAGTGCCCGTAGTCCTGGCTACCTGGGAGAGTTAGGAAGAAGGATCATTTGAACCTACGAGATAGAGGCTGCAGTGAGCGATGACTGTGCCACTGCACTCCAGCCTGGGTGACAGTGTCACCTCATCACAATCAATCAATCAGATAAGATAAAGCCAAATAACTTAGTAGAAAAGTGGTCAGAAAATATGAATGGAAAGTTCATGGGAGAGAAATTCCAAATAACTAATAAATACATGAAAAATGGACAACTTTACAAATAAAGATATATAAAATAATGAAATATTTTTTCTTATTTTAGAGTGGCATAGATCCAATTTTTGATGATATCAGAATCAGGAAGATGTGTGAAGCAGGTCCTCTCAAAAGCATTGCCGGTAGGAAAGAAAATCGTTATATTTCTTTGGAGGGCAGTCTAGGAATACTAAAACTGTTCATACTCTCTGTGACTCAGCAATTTCACTATTAAGAATTTGTCCAACAGGCCAACGTGGTGGCTCATGCCTGTAATCCCTGTACTTTGGAGGCTGAGGCGGGCGGATCACTTGAGGTCAGAAGTTTGAGACCAATCTGGCCAACGTGGTGAACCCTCATCTCTAACCACAAAAACAAAAACAAAAAAATACAAAAATTAGCCAAGTGTGGTGGTGGGCTACTGTAATCCCAGCTACTCAGGAAGCTGAGGTAGGAGAATTACTTGAATCCAGGAGGCAGAGGTTGCAGTGAGCCAAGATCATATTACTGTACTCCAGCCTGCACCGGAGGCTCCATCTCAAAAAAAAAAAAAAGAAAATTGTCCAACAGAAATACAGATCCTTTCAGTAGCACACACAAAAAATTAAATACACAGCTAAGGACATTCACTATAGTATTGTCTGTGCTTAGGTGTCCAGGTTTTCAGAGTGTGTTTTTTAAAAATGACATTTGTGTTACGTTGTTTTCTGATTAGAAGCACCCATGTGCATTGTAAGAAATTCAAATAACACAGTTATGTTAAAGTAGAAAGAAAATTCCATCCCCAAAGATAATTACTGCTAACAGTTAAATGCATATTATTTTCAGACCATTTTTGTGCAAAAACACACGCAGTAATCCGAATTTATGCTTTCCGAATTTTATAACCAGATTCAGATAAACATTTTGAGATACATTTATCTTCATCCTCAAATGCCTGCCGTATGCTATCCAAAACTTACGAAATGAATATATTGGAAAAATGAATATCCTTCACTATCTGAATTTACTTCTCAAACTTTATCTCTTGGCATCTCAGTTTAGAAGTAAATAGATTTGAGACCCAAGAATAACCGGATAAACCCTTTTTTTCTACAAAAGTTAAACCATTCAACAACTTGCCTTTTTTTCCTTACAAGTATATTTTATACATCATTCAATGTTAGTTCATAAAGATCTCTCTCAGCTGGGCATGGTGGTTCACGCCTGTAATTCCAGCACTTTTTGGGGGGCCAAGGCAGGAGGATTGCTTAAGTCCAGGAATTTGAGACTAGACTGAGTGACATGGCAATACCCCATCTGTACAAAAAATACAAAAATGCACACCTGTAGTCCTAGGTATCTGGGAGGCTAAGGCAGGAGGATTGCTTGAGTCCAGGAGTTGAAGGCTGCCCTGATGTTTTGATCACCATCACTGCATTCCAGACTGGATAACATATCTAAAAATAAATAAAAACAAAAATAAATAAAATAAATAAAAACAAAAAATCTGTCTCATTTCTTTTTAATGGCTGCATAGTACCATTGTATAGCTAAAACACAATTTAATTGGTTTGTTATTGATGAGCATTTATTGGTAGCCTAAGTATATGTATTGACATGGAAAGGTGTCGAAATAATATTTTTAAGTTAAAAAGTAAATTGGACAGTTTGTATAGCCTATCTTAAAAAAGGACAAACTGGTTAATATATACACAGAAAAAAAACTTCTGGTCAAATATATACCGAACTGCTATCTATCTATCTATTTATCTATTTAGAGACAGAGTCTCGCTCTGTCACCCAGGCTGGAGTGCAGTGGCACGATCTGTGCTCACTGCAACCTCGGCCTCCTGTGTTCAAGGACTTCTGTCTCAGCCTCCTGAGTAGCTGAGAGTACAGGCACATGCCACCATGCCCAGCTAACTTTTGCATTTTTAGTAGAAATGGGGTTTCACCATATTGGTCAGGCTGGTCTCGAACTCCTAACCTAGGCAATCCACCCACCTCAGCCTCCCTTCCAAAATACTGGGATTACAGGTGTGAGCCACCATGCCTGGCCCTAACTGCTATCATCAGAGGTACAGGCTGAGACAGGAGAGGGGGACGATAATCATTTTTTGCGGTTATATTTTTCAGTGATGTTTGAATGATTTTACTATGAAAGTATTATTCTAGAAGCAGAAAAAAAGAAACAAAAGCACACAAAGATATTGTCAAGGAACAATATTTCACCATATATAGTTTAAAAATCGAATCAGCTTTTATTAGTGATTCATGAATTGGGCAGCTTCGCATCTATGAAACAGAAAGGTGCTTTGGTGGGCCGAGCAGACAGGGTTGGTTTTACAGGCAGAAAAAGGCTGAAAAGAGCAAAACCAAGAAGCAAAAAGTGCATTGATCATTTCAAAGTTACTTTCCTTCTAGGGTTAAAGAAGAGGACATATCAAGCTGGCTTAGGTTGACTGGCTCCTTGGATTAAATGCCGTGAATCTCTCGTTCTTTGGAAAACCAGCTGGTTTCTAAATTTAGTTTGATTATATAGCACCTAGCATGAGTGACTCCATTCTGGTTTGTTCTGGTCTGTTGGGGCCTAGGGCAGGAGCTCAGTGCGAAACAATGACCTCTCACAAATTTTATTTAACAGTATGTACATGAATAATCTTTGTAATATATTTTCAAATAGTGAACAATTGGATGCAATAAATAAGAGATTGGTTAAATACAATATACCCACACAGTGGAATACAACTGAGCTCGCCCCAAAATACAATATAATCCCACACATTGAAAAATAACCAATAACAGCTGGGCATGGGGGCTCACACCTGTAATCCCAGCACTTTGAGAGGCCGAGGCTGGTGGATCACGAGGTCAAGAGATTGAGACAACATGGTGAAACCCTGTCTCTGCTAAAAATACAAAAATTAGCCAGGTGTGGTGGCACGAACCTGTAATCCCAGCTTCTCAGGAGGCTGAGGCAGGAGAATTGCTTGAACCCAGGAGGCAGAGGTCGCAGCTCACTGCGATTGTGCCACTGCACTCCGGCCTGGTGACAGAGTAAGACTCCATCTTAAAAAAAAAAAAAAAAAAGAAAGAAAAAGAAAATAACAACAATATGCTGCCTTATATAGATCAAACTGTTAATTATCTCTAGGAATATTTTAACTTTCTTAGAAATGTCTATACTATTTTAATTGTTAAGATGCCACATGAATTACTTTTACACTTGAGATAAAAGGTTATTATTTAATGGTGGTTGAAATTGGGAATTTTATGATTTTTGTCTAGCTCTTGGGAAGTAACTACCTCACCCTGTTATATCAGGTAAGTCTGTTGTTTAATTTTTTTTTTTTTTTTTGAGACAGGGTCTTACTCTGTCACCCAGGCTGGAGTGTGATGGCTCAATCTCAGCTCACTGCAACCTCGGCCTTCTGGGTTCAAGTGATTCTCTTGCCTCGGCCTCCCCAGTGGCTGGGATTATAGGCATGTGCCACTGTACCCAGCTAATTTTTGTATTTTTAGTAGAGATGGGGTTTCGCCATATTGGCTAGACTGGTCTTTAACTCCTGACCTCAAGTGATCTACCTGCCTTGGCCTTCCAAAGTGCTGGGATTATAGGCATGAGCCATTGCACCCAGCCCTATTGTTTAATTTTTATGTATTAGGCTTTCCTATGCATTTCCAGAGACCTATTATAAGTAGACTGTTTAGATATAATTTTATCCCCTCTAGACCAATGCTATCCAATAGAAATTTATTGCAAGCTACATATGTAATTTAAAATTTTCTAGTAACTACATTTTAAAGAGAAGCAGGTGCGATTAATTTTAATAATGTATTTTATTAACCCAGTATATCCAAAATATTATCATGTGAACATGTAATGGATATAAAAATTATTAATGAGATACTTTACATTCTAATTTCCATATTAAGTCTTTTAAATCTGGTATGTATTATACTTACAGCATATTTCAATTTGGATGCTAAATTTTCAACAGTTAAAATGTTGTCCTACCAAAACAATAAGGTGTATTTATTTATTTATTTGTTTGTTTTGAGATGGAGTATCACTCTGTTGCCCAGGCTGGAATGCAGTGGCAGGATCTCCGCTCACTACAACCTCTGCCTCCTGAGTTCAAGTGATTCTCCTGCTTCAGCCTCCCAAGTAGCTAGGACAACAGGCAGGTGCCCACCACCACACATGGCTAATTTTTATATTTTTAGTACAGACAGAGTTTCACGATAATGGCCAGACTGCTTTTGAACTCTTGACCTTGTGATCCCCCAGGTGTCCACTTGGGGGACAATCCCAGTGCTGGGATTACAGGTGTGAGCCACTGTGCCTGGCCAATAAGGTGTATTTAAAGGAAAAAGATTTTACTCTGCTTCAGTTTTTAAATTTAAGTTAAAGTTGATTTAAAATGTCACTAGTGTGACCAGTCACACTAGCACATTTCAAGTGCTCAATGGCCATATGTGGCTGGTGGCTGCAGCGTTGGGCACTGTTGATGTAAAACATTCTGTTGGACAGCTGTGGTGTAGACATTGAGCTCCAGGCAGATAGAATTTCTTACTCATCTTTGGCGCTCTATGACTTAACAGTGCCTGTCACACAGTAGGAAGTCCATAAACGAAGAATCCATTCATGGATCCCGGACTGAGGTCATCATGAGTGGCACACTGATGAAGGGTGAAAAGCCACATCTTCACAGCATGGTCATGGATGGCCCTGTTTACCTCCTCCTGAGCAGGACAAATAGTTATTATATATGGAGGGATTTTGTGGTTGTTGTTGCCGACAGCAAATCATTTGTGGAATCTATTTGTTCTTCCCAATTGACTTAATATAAAAAAGAATTTATGTGATGAACTTTTAGAGCCAAGATTGTCTTTGGTACAAAGCAGGAGCCCGGTGTACCCTGGGACCAGCTGGACTGACTCAGTGGTTGTCAGCTGGGGGCAGGAGGGGGCAGCAGAGAGCCACCAGGGTGGTTGGTTCTGGGGAACCCAAAAGATGATGGATGAGTGGGAAAATGGAGTGTTAGGGTGTACCCAGATCACAAACTCATAGACCAAAAGGAAATCCAGGCTAGAAAACACAGTATTGAGGGAGAAGCCAAGCCAGGATGGGACCAATGTGGAAGAAAAGATGCTGGGAATCTGTGGTTTCCCTTATTGCTTCGGTAGGAGATTTGGCCTTTACTTTCTTTCTACTTAAATTATAAACAAAATGAAGACAATTGGCCATGTGAGGTGGCTCATGCCTGTAATCCCAAACCCTTGGTAGGCCAAGGCAGAAGAATTGTTTGGGGCCAGGAGTTTGAAACTAGCTTGAGCAACATAGCGAGACCCCATCTCTGTTTTTTAAATAATAAAAGAAGAAAATTAAAATTACTGTTCATCACATAGAATTTTTGGCAATTTGTATAGTCAAATCACATGATTAGCTCTTGGTTCTCTAGTTCTTTTAGTTGTAACATTAGGTTATTAAATTGAGATCTTTCTAACTTTTTGATGTGGACATTTAGTGCTATAAATTTTCCTCTTAGCATTGCCTTAGCTGTGTCTCAGAGATTCTGGCGTGTTGTATCTTTGGTCTCATAAGTTTCAAAGAACTTCTTGATTTCTACTTAATTTCATTATTTACCCAAAAGTCATTCAGGAGCAGGTTAATCAATTTCCATGTAATTGTGTAATTTTGAGCTATTTGCTTAAGTCTTGAATTCTATTTTGATTGCACTGTGGTCTGAAAGAGTGGTTGTTATTATTTCAGTTCCTTTGCATTTGCTGAGGAGTGTTTTACATCAATTGTGTGGTTGAATTTAGTATGTGCCACATGGTGATGAGAAGAATGTATATTCTGTTGTTTTTGGGGTAGAGTTCTGCAGATGTCTATCAGGTCTATTTGATCTATGCTGAATTTAAGTCCTGAATATCTCTGTTAATTTTTTGCCTTGATGATCAAATACTGTTAATGGGGTGTTAAAGTCTCCCACTATATTGTGTGGGAATCTAAGTCTCTTTGAAGGTCTTTAAGAACTTGCTTTATGAATCCAGGTGCTCCTGTGTTTGGTGCATATATATTTAAGGTAATTAGGTCTTCTTGTTGAATTTAACCCTTTACCAATATGTAACACCTGTCTTTGTCTTTTTGATCTTTGCTGGTTTTAAAGTCTGTTTTGTCTGAAGTTAGGATTGCAACCTCTGCTTTTTTCTGGTTTCCGTTTGCTTGGTAGATTTTTCTCCATGCCCTCTCTCATCACTCCTATTCAACATAGTATTGGAAGTCCTGGCCAGAGCAATCAGGCAACAGAAATAATGGGCATCCACATAGAAAGAGAGGAAGTCAGATTATCCCTGTTTACAGATGACATGATCCTATATCTAGAAAACCCCATGGTCCCAGCTCAAAAGCTTCTTAAGCTGATAAACAACCTGAACAAAGTCTCGGGAT